TGAGCCTCAATTCATACTGAAGGCTACAGTCCTTGACACTCTGCAGCAAGTGCATGAGGTCCTGCATTTCAGCAAGCAGGGTTGTGTCATCTACATAACGCACATATACATACATACATATGTAATTAGAAACTACATATTAGGACATGGCTGCGTGAGATGTCAGCAACACTTTCATTTGAGATTCATATGAAATTATTATCAAAAGGGGTCATTTCTTGAAAAAAAAAATCACAATGGGAAATGGAGAAAGGTCAAAGTGGAAGACCACCAACGAGAAGAATGCACACACAAAGATGGTTTCACACAATGCCTGTTACCACGGGCCAGACTGTGAGAAACTGAGAATATTTAGTCAGTGACTATCATGGGAAGAGACTGCCTTTCCTTCCCTCCTGACCAACGTAACTCCCTACAATACAAGGTACTATCCTCAAGTAAGCTTGCATTTAGGAGTCAGATTACAAAATAATGAAGCCATGTGTGTCCGACTTGAACTGCCCCATCCTGTGGTCCAGGTTGTCCACTTGGGTGGATTCAAGGTGATCAAGCAGTGACATTCATTGGTGTCACCCCAATTTTTTTTCCCTTCAAATCAAGAGATGCTACAACTCATAGCAACTCTATGAAGAGAACCAAAGCTTGTCCTGTCCTTCAAAGATACAACTGTGTTCATTAATTTCCCCCCATGTTTTACAAGAAGGGACACCTGCACATGGATATATTCCTGATTTAGGAAACCGTGGTTACATGTGAATTTAGAATGGTGTGCTCAGTTTTGCCTTGAAAAGGGTGTTCCTTAGGGAAAAAAAAGAGGTTGTAAAACTTCTCCACTTTGGGCAGCTTCTAGGGAGGGCCCATTCCTTCGAAATGGGCATTGTGCTTGGGACTGTAAAAGGATTAGAAAGAGTATGACAGTCACTGAGAAAGAGGGACACACTGTGTGTGTCTTGGAGGCAAAAATGTGGAAGCTTTGTCTCACATGCTGTTGAACATGTTGTTAGCAAAGACTAGGCCTTGGAAATGGACATTCTTTTTGGAATTATGGAGAGGTAGACACTCTTGGTACCATGTTTAAAAAAAACCAAAAGCAACCACCCAGAATTAAAAACAAAATCCTGGTAAATTCTCTTTACAAACCAGCCACTGAAAAGGAACTCTGGCTCTGCACTCCCTCATAATGCATCATGGTGACATAAGGTATCTTCATCTGGAATCTTTATGGAAAAATGGAGCGTCAGAGAAAGCCAGGGAGACCCTCAACAACATGCAGCAACGGGGTCTGTACCAAGACACATCAGAGACTATGTCTAAGCCATCACTCTGAGTCCTCGTTGGCTTGATGCTTCACGAAAACATCCCAGAGAGACCTGCTGGGATGACAGTAAGCAGATAACCTGAAGAGACAAAAATTTATTATCGAGCAAGTGGGACACCCACAACACTTTTGAAGGGATGGTTCTCCCTAGCATTGAAGGTCTACGGTCTCCACCATCCGGAGATATCTCCATATATCTCTGTCATTTTCAAATGGAAGAAGTGTTGCAGTTGTTCTAGAGTTATGGATATGGGAACCCGTCCACAGTGGACACTCTAGAAGGTTCATACTGACCATCCTCTCCCTTCAAGAGCTGCTGGTGGATTCAACTCACATGCCTTCAGGATGACAGCACAGCTTCTTAAAACAGGCCACCACAGCTCATTCCCTCTTGTCTACAGATGTCAAAAAGCCACCCTTATCATCAGAAGGGGAATGAAGTAGGCATCCCCTCAGTTAGGATCGCTCCCTCAAGACGTGAGCATGCACCTCAAAGGACTCCAGGTTACGAATCATTTGAATCTGGTCAAGCACCCCCAACTGCTCCATAATAAGAACTAACTCATTGACACATGTCGGAGGGTCCTCTCTGTCATAGTCAAGAGGCAATGGAAGGACCAGCCCTGGACTTCTCAGTGTGGAGTGTCCGACGTAACAGTTTCTTCAAGGTAGACTTCCTCCCAAAGTTTCCAGAGAATCTAAACAGTTGGCTCTGTGAGCAGTGGTTCAGGGCAGATAAGATGGTGTTGACTTGAGAATCCCTGAGGCCACACTACAGTAAGTCCACGCGCTCCAGAGTGGCCGAGGTCCAGTCTACGGCAGCTCGGAGTAACTTGGGATTTAAATGGGCCAAGCAGGTTTTGGAGAAATTCAGCACCCTTAGTCGTCTGGTGGACGGCGACGAGGACAGGGATTGGAGGTCTGAGTTCTCTAATAAGTAGTGAGCTGCATTTTCTTCAGATGCACCATCTGGGACAGGTAAGGGACTAAAATAAACAGGAGGCTTCTCTTGGGTGTACAGTAGATTTTCAACTCCTCCACACCATCCAGGTACACACTCCCCAGCATCTTCTTAATGACTTGATATGCGGGTGTACAATCTGAAAAGGTCAGCTTCTTAAAGCTGAGGGATCCCTTTCCCCCCCTTCACCCGGTCTCTGAGGTGGGTGAGCAGATCATAACACTCCGTTAGGTGGAAGCTCAGATGTCCCGCCAGCTTGACATCGACAAGCGGCTGCTTGGCGACTGACCCTGACCCGGGACAGTCATCACTCCTCAGACTCACTGCCTCTCCAACCTCGACTAAGTCCCTGGGCTCCAGGTCCTCCTCCCGAGTTGTGGGCCACACCACGATGAGGTGGCCCGTGGGGCGGCGAAATCCCCGGTCTAGCAGGACCTCGAGGCCCTTAAACACACTCTGCAACGTGGTCGGAGTACGGAGCTACTCTGTGTTCAACAGAGAGGTCAGGTCCAGGCACGGCGAGGGCTAGGCGGCTACCATGGCCTCCACGGTCTCCCTGTGTCTACCAGACACGGCTTCCACAAAGAGGTATTCCCAGAGTCGGAAAGGGATCAGCTGTGGAGCCCAGGGGACCCAAGACTCATCCTTGAGCAGGCCATGCTTGGCCAGGTCGAAGAGATGGTGTGGATGGGAGGTGTTCATGATGCCAGTTTGCTGGCGTGGGTCCACAGTTCCCTAGGAGGGACAGAAGGGAGTCCACGTTGAGATCAGGCAGGTGGTGATTTTGTCATTGGTGGCGGTGGTGGTGGTGGCTTCCCCTTAGAACAGCCCCCACGCCCAAGCTTCCTACAATCTATTGTAGGATTCTGTTGAGTCAGAAGGTGTCAGGAGCTGGGTAACCTGCAAAGCAGGATTAGCAAAGCCTTGTAAAAACAGCAGGACCACCTATCTTGGCTTGACCACCTGTTCTGCAGAAAACAACTCCAGGAAGCAGTATGCTAATAAGTAGGGAGTGACCAAAGGTTTCTGAATCTTAGGAATGGGATACCGTATTTTGTCTTTTGTAATATATTCTAAGATATCCCCTGAAGAGGTCTTTGTTTTACGTGAATGTCTGGGAATGTTTGATCTACCAGTCAACATCTCGGACAAACAGGAGATAATGTGATTACCCCTGGAAGCATGTTCCTAAGACGTATATATACCCTTGCCAGAATATTAAACTTGCAATGTCACCAGCAATTAGCCTCTCCGCGTCTTCATTTCAACCTGGTGCCTCCTTTTGGTGGAATTCTCCCGACATATCGGGGCTGGATCCCCGATAAGAAGGGACAATGAGCTGGAATGAGCTCATGAGGACTTCATGGGTCTGATATTTTGACTCCTGTCTCCAGAGGGTCCCTCCCTCCGACCCTCTTTGTACCCTGTCATAAACCAAGCCTTGTGGGTCACAGATTATAAAGCTAGTGGACATCATTTTGAAGGAATTTCTCACAACCAGCCAAGCTTCCCTGAGGACTGATAGGAAAATTGGCTGGCCACCAACTGAGTGCTGAATATTCTAAACTTATAAATAAGCTAGTATAAAAGTACATATAAAA